AAAATAAAAAAGTCCTATTCTATCGTCTTACATCTTCGTGTTGTCATATCAAAACATTCTCTACCATGACAGGAAAAGCAATGTTGTGTTCCAGAAACTGTGGGTGTGCAGAAATGAGTCACTTTGGCAATGACTTGCTTTGCATATCAGTATAAACCAGAAGAGGGAATTGATTTAATATAAGGAACAATACACTGAATTATACACTCATGTACTGTAGAGAAACTTATGGTTGTGGTTACAACAAACATGACCAAATAATAAAGAAAACAATTCTATGAAAAGCTAATTTCTCATTGTAATAAAGAAAAATACTGGGCATGCAGAAACATCTGTTTTCAAGAAAATGAGAGACAAAATAAAATATTCTCCGGAAAAGGATAAAAAATACTTTGCTGACAGGAGAAAAATCCTAAAGAACAACAAAGACTCTCAAAACATCTCTGCTTTCCCGGATTACCTGTTGCAGCAAACCACTGTATTATTGGGTTGAAAAATCTGTTCACCTGGGCAAGATAATTACTGAAATCAAAACTGAGCTCAAATTTAGCCATCAAAGCTCCATTTCTACCTAGCTCTAAACAGAACCTGTAACTTAAACTATTGAAACTCTGCAAGAGAGAAAACGCCAAAAAAAAATCCATGTAGAAATAGAGTATCATCAGCTAAAGGACCAGTGATGCAAGGAAAGACAGGCTCACACAGTTCTATCAAATGAAGAAAAGCCCACATCTTCTCAAAACGTGGCTTCCACACCCATTTGTTCAAAATGAAATCTCAAATTTTTTAAAACATAAATCTGTGGTTAAATGCACACAAACTGATAAAAATTTGTATGTATAAACAATTTAATCTCCAGCCTTACACATAAATATCTGTAAGCTCAGTAACTTCAGCAAGCAAAATTAGGCTTTTTAATGAAACTATATTAAAAATAATTTGAGTGTACAGCAAGAGTGAATGATTTAATCTATTTCATCTTAAACTTTTCCAAGAAGGTGCACTGTGGTGTTTCTGCCCTTCTGGAATGCTTCTCATATATAAGCTTTAAAGCTGTCCAGCTCTAAAACTGTAGTACCACTAAAGAGATAGGGAACAACAACAGGGTAAATAAGATAAAGAATTTATCTTTAAGGGAAGGGAGAAACATTGACTTGAAATGTGAATAAAAATACAACTTTAAAGGTTTTCCAATCAGGTGGCATAACTTGAGTCACGCATTCAGTCTTTCCTGGGTGTCATGGTTTAACCCCTGCTGGCAGCTAAGCACCTCAGAGCCACTCACTCTTTCCTGGTGGGATGGAGGAAAGAATTGGAAAGGTACAAGTAAGGAAGATGATAGGCTGATTTAGGAAAAATTTTGTAATTAGAATTTAAATAAATTTAATACATTAAAGAAAATTAACAGCAATAATAAAAATGGAATATTAAATAAACATGAGAAAAATAAAGACCAAGAAACACAAGTGATACAATTGAAAAACAATTGCTCACCACCAGACAACTGATATGCAGATGGTTCCCAAGCAACAGCTTCCCCCTGCCAAACTCCACCCCTGTTTTATTGCTGAGCATAAAACCAAATGGTCTGGAATATCCCATGGTCAGCTGTCCTGGCTGTGCCCCCTCCCAGCTCCCTGTGCACCCCCAGCCCCCTCGCTTGTAGGGCCATGTGAGGGGCAGAAAAGGCCTTGATGTCGTGTGAGCACTGCTCAGCCGTAGCTAAAACATCCCTGAGACATCAACACTGTTTCTAGCTCAAATCTGAAACACAGCACCATTCTAGCTACTGTGAAGAAAATTAACTCTATCCCGGCCAAAACCAGCACAATGGGGAATATATTTTTATGTCCTGAACTTCATAGTACTATGTTCCAAGGCCAGCTTTTCCTGTTGGCAATGTTTGGTCTCAATTTATTATTATAACAGAAGAACTTAAAACTTTTTACAAGTCCGCATAGCTTTGGGGTTTTGTTTTGTGGCATTTAAAAAAAAAATTATTGATGCATATGTTTCCCACAGTTTATCCTAGAATAACTTGATCTCTGGGTCCCTTCTTTGCTCTTGGAACAAAGTCTGTCCCTCTAAAGGTTTATTAATTTCCCACAAAATGTCTGCCTCTGCTCCCAACCTCCCTCATAATATCCCTTCACAACTTCTATTCCTCTAACCACATTTTTCAAATGTCACACTACTGAATCTCAGGGAGATTAAATGTTCAGTATCTATGTGAAACAAGGCAGGGACTTTTCAAATTGCAGGATCAGTCTACCTAAGGGAGCCCATCTGATTGTAATTCAGCTGCTGGTGCCTGTTATCAGATGGGAACTGGAAGCAGTGTCTCTCCCTCCCATGCTACCTGCATTCACCTCTGTCAGGCAGAACTGCCATGAGAATGTCTACAACACAGTGCCAAGCCACATCCAAAGGAGCTGGTATACTTACACAGAATCATTTAGTGCCTTACCTTTACCCTAGTTGAAATCCCAGAAGTGATACAGCCATCTACACCAGCTACCGAGAACAAGTTCAGATGGGTCTGTGAAAGCAGGACTAAAAAAATCACCAGAAAGCTGTCATATGTCTTCATCAGAAATGAAGATGTAGCAAGTATCTGCTCCCTGAAAGTGTGATTCTTGGAAGAACAGAAACATTGGAAGCACAGCACAAGGCAGACAAAACAGGATTTCACACCAGAAGGGTCCAGGGCTAAGGTGCCAGAGCAGGGGCTCAAGCCCATGCTTAGACTCTATTTCCACAAGAAACAAGTGACACAGCTCAGATGATTCTTTGCATACTCTGCATTCATCATCTGCCATTTATCAACACTGCTCAGGCAAGGAATGGCTGAAGGTGAGGTGTGACCTTCAATAAAAATAAGGCATGACAGGTGAATTTGCAAGTCAGTGACTGAAAGACTGCTCTGCTCATGCCCATGCATGTTTTTCAGTCATAGAGCAAACTCATCAATGCTCAGAGGAATATTAGTGCTGCCCTGAGCTAAGAAGGCTCTGTCCATAGAAGATTAAGAGAAAGCCAAAAGGCCAAAGAACCCTGTTGTTTCATACCATTTCTGCACAGGAAGGCAGAAGATTCGAAACTCATCATACGAGGAAAAGCTGACCTCATACATGTAAAAGGCCTTGTAGGCAAATGGAATCCTCAGCTTTTGTAACCAATTATATTTTAGCAACGTTTTTACTGACATCATGCTTGTATGGTAATATAAAAATATTTTGTAAATATATTAATCAGCTTTTATTCCTATAGAGTTTAGATATAATAATGAAATATGATAGTTATCACATACCTTTGGCTAGATTTAGTGAGTGTAAGTGTTAAAAAATGCTTTCAGGGAACCTTTTTGAAAATATCCACTGAAGTCTAATTGCAATAGAGTATAGAAGAAAGCCAAATGTGACAGGCTGTATTTTACTTATGCTAAACCGTTGTCCCATACATAAAATGATCAAGATTACTCATTAAATTAGAAACAATTAAAAAACGCAAAGAGCTGTTACAGTAACACAAATGAATACACAGGGTATTAGTTATCAATGCTTTATTATTGAAAACAAAATTGAAATTCTTTTATCTGGCACATAAACAATTATTTCTACAAAAAGGAAAGCCTACAAATCTGATAATTTATACAAATAACAGTTTTTCAAAAAATAAAATTTTAATTTAGTAAACTTGTCTTGTGCTCTTTTTTTTTTTTTAGCACTGTCTGCAATAATCCACCACAAATCCCTGAGCAGAGAGACATATTTTAAACATGTTTTAAATTTATCCCAAAAGAAGAAAGTTATCAAGCCCAGACGTATATTAAAAAATGTATTCAGGGACATTCTTGGTAAATTTATGGTAGTCCTTATTTCTTTTTCTTTTCCTTTTCCTTTTCTTTTGTTGTTTGTTTTTTTAAAAAGAAACAAACAAAACCAGTTATCAATGCAAGCATGACACTGTATCACAGGAGTGCTCCCCTCTTCCCCCTTTTGTGCAATGAATAAAAATTACCCAACAAGAATAAGTACAAGTTGAAGGAGACAAATAACCTGGTGAATGTTTAAGACCAAGAAGCCATCGAAGTTTGATGGCTGTTGAGCAAATAAAGCTGCAGGATACCACAGTTCTATACCAAGCTCAGTTACAGTTACCTATTTCTATATCTTTTCCTAGAAAGTCAGTAAAGCAGGAGAATAAGTTCAAGCTACCATTGTATTCTAATACTGGTTTCAACAATCAAGCTGAAATTCAACTTTTGATCCTTCAATTTTGCTTTTCCAGCAAGAACATTATTTGAGAAAAACTTGACACACTCCACAAAACCAAACAATCTTGTTCTTCTGGCCCTTCTGATGGACCAGTTGTAAATTTAGCAACATACAGTATTTTAGTGAGCAAGAAGAAAGAAAAGGAAACACACATAACTACAGTTTTTCTGCTATACTGACTTTGAAACAGCTATTCCCTAATCTGTTTCAATACAGATTTAAAATCCAAGTATAAGGGTAGAATGATCAAGAAGGTAGAGTATAACTCAAGTGTTCCCTTTCCCATTCAGTACATACACTAACCACAGAACAAATGTAAGTAAAACCAAATAAAAGAAATAGCAACACTTAGAGACTGTTGTGTTAATGGCAGGTAACACTGCTGCAGTCAAGTAATAAATAAATAAATACAGCAAAGTGTTCTCTACATTTTTGTTGGAATGGTGCTCAACAGTTAAAAAGGAATACATAAACTAAAAACCCCAAGCCCCTTCTCAGTAATAAAGAGTTTTTAACAGAAGATCCTGAAGAAGCTTCAGTTCAAGGTGCTCTACCACTTTATCTATCATTATGAAAGGAATACTGAAGCAGATACCAAAGGGCCATTAAATGAAATAGTAAATTTTCTTACAAGCAATAATACTTATTCCAAAGAAAAAAAGCAGTTAACAAATGGCCTGGAAAAAAATTACTAAAGCTTCATACACTTTGATTTTAAATAAATTATTTGTACATTTAAAATCTGAAGACTAAAACAGTAATGAGGCTAAATTATTCTGAAACAGAAATAAATTGAACCTCACCAAAAGCATATCTAGATATTTGACATCTCTGCTGCTAGCATGTGTCAGAATACAAACAGAATGCTAATATTTGGTTAGAATCTGAATAGGTTTGTTTAAAACACCAACAATATGAAAAGTAACTGGCAACCACCATTACTGATTCCTCTTAATCTACACTATTTTAAGCATTACTGAATCGAGTCCCTTCAGTTATTTGCTAGCCTCATCAATGCATAACATTCCCTTTTCTCTGAGTTGCTCATGAAGTCTCATTGTGGCTTACCCAAGCACTAATATTTTCAACTCTCATTTTAATTACTAACTGCAAAAGTATCATGTGCAGAGTCTGATTTAAAGTTAGACTTATCTGATAGCAAAGTAAAGAGAGTCAAATACATTATTCTATAATATCAATTATTTTTTTCTAAGATGACAGTCTGACCACACTGTTTTGGTATGAGGACAAACATCCCTCTTGCTTGTATTACTAAATCACATCTCTGGTCTTTTTTTTACTAGCCCACATACTACATCTGATGTAGAATACAGACAGCTCCTTGGTCATTCTGTCTTCCTCACAGAAATTTGACTGTGTATCTCAAGAAAACTGCACTATAAGTTAACAAGCTGAAGTACCAGGCATACTGAAGTAACAGTAAACAACTTGCAGTGCTGTCATCTAATCATGTGACAGGTTTGAAAAAAAATGGGCCATATAAGCTGTAAAATTGGCTAGCAAGTGGTTCAAAAGTGAGATACAGCAGCATTAAGACAAACTGCAAACACACTGGATTTAGTACACATTTTAATGAGTTACAGTATCAGCAAAATACTTTAACCTACTATTACCACTCGTATTCCCATATGGCTTAGTGTATACTGTGTGATTTTCCCTTCATATTTCTATGACAGTATACTTTCAAGTACCCACCCAAAAGTAAGCAATATGGGATTTGCAATTGTTTATCAAATATACTGAAACAACTTCTCTCATGTGCCATTGTTTCCAAATACTTTTGTTGCGTAACAAGTTCTCCATGAATCCCTCAAAGTCTCCCTTTTTCTATTTCTCTAGCAGAATAGCTTCTCCTAGCAGCAATTAGGACCTCTGATCCTTACAGTCAAGTCCAGCAAGTTCTCTGACCTGACAACTGTGTGGAAGTTCTAGTTCCTGGGTTGAATCACTTTAAGGAAAAGAAGTTCAGAATTTTCATCATCATGTTTTGGATGTTTTCAAACCTTGTTTCTCCATGATGTTCCACAATTTGCGAAGATTGGACTGGGTGATGACATCATCAGGTTTAAGTTGAAGAGCAAGGAGGTAGTTTTCTTCAGCCTCTTTCAGCTTGCCATTTAGATGGAGAATGGCTCCAAGATTCATTAGGGCAGCTGGATACTGGTACCAATTAAAAAAAGGAAGGAAGAATATTACAAATATTTTCAATTTTTCTTTTTAGACAATCTTCTTCCACTTAAATTACTCCCTTATGTTTGCTGATTTTTTATGGAAGCAATTTAGTAATTTAAGCAAATATGGAAAACAAGAAAAAGTTTCTGAACAGCTGCTGTGTAGTTTATGCTTTAAACAGGTCAAGCTCTGGTGCCTACAGACATAAGACTTATCTCTTTAATGAGAAAACAACAGAACTCCAAAAGGTTTAAATGTGATAATGTTGGCATAATACAGGTTTCAAGAGAAAATTAAAGTAATCCAAGAGTGAATTAGCAACAAGAATTTAATTTTAATCAAACCCATTGCCAATAAAGAGTTTATAATCATTTAGAATAGTTAACACATTGGAACTTATCCCTTTCTTCTCCTTGTCTTAATTTAACTGGTAAAAAATACAGCCTCCTTTCAGATTCTAAGGATATTCAGGAGTTGTATATATCCACTTAGATTCAGGCTGTGACAACTATTTCTTAATGAATGATTGAATAAAATTAACAATGATGGAAAAATGCTATTTTAGTAACAAAAATATTAAAATTTTGTAACAAATCATTTTAAAAGCTTATGTTGCTAAAATTTGCTTCATGTTTAGCTAAGACAAAATGTTTAGATTGTTTTTACTTTTTTCATCTCTAAGTTATTAAACATACCTGATCACTGGCGTTAACAAATATTACAAGGGCAGAAAAGCACATTTATGAAACTGAAGACTCTAACCTACCTTTTGGCAAGCACCAAAGGTATTCACGTCCTAGTGAATACCTAACACAGTAAAGGCATTTGTCAAACCAGTATCTTGCATTTTAAAGAAAAATGGGAAAAAAAGACCATGCAAAGTTCAATATGGTTTTCACCCTCACGTCAGTCTAAGTTTCAGTGAGCTTTAGGAAAACTCACTTTTGAAGTAGCATAGTTTTGCCTCAGAGGATAAGTGTTTCAAGCCACCACTCATCAGTGTTCCACTCAAAGTAATATTCAAAATGTGAAGCCACATGGCATATCAAGTTCAGACTACTGTGAGGGTGTGTTGGTGTGCTTTAGGAGCTCTCCAGGGACAGTAACATCAGGAAAATGGTTAAACACTGCAACAGGTTGCCCAGAGAAGCTGTGGAAGTGTTCAAAGCCAAGTTTGATGGGGTTCTGAGCAGCCTGGTCTAGGAACTCATGGCAGGAAGGTTGGAATTGATGATCTTCAAGGACCCTTCCAACCCAAACCAGTTGAAGATTGTATGAAAATATGTTAGGTAGAAGGCCAATAAAATATGTAGTACAGTTGGTCTCCCAGACAGATGTGGCAATAGGAAATCATTACGATGAGGAAGACTTACCTTTGTTCCAAACCTCTCCACTACAAAGTTAAGCTCATTACTCTTACCCTTTTTAATCAAGCTTCAACAAAATTCCTATAATTCTTATGTCCAAACCCTAAATTTTATGTTGGGAATGTTGTTGAGATAATTCCAATGTTTTATATCCTCATACTATATATTCATACTTTTTCTGTTTTCTTCTTGCTTCTTTTAACCTATTAATATATGCATCACAAAAACTCATGAAGAACTGTGATGCATCAAATTTTAAGAACAAATGGCTTACAGAGTTTCAAAATTAAGCAAAACAAAATTAGTTCAGCTCCTCTTATTGTAAACATCACAATGCCAATGCAGAGGAATCTGAAGATCTAGTTTTTAGATTTACTTTTTCTTGCCTTATCCTGACAGATTTTTTTCACCTTCCATACGTCAGTTACTTCATTCTACTGTGAATGGAACAAAGAACGCCAGCTGAGTTTTACATAGTTTTATCAGTTAAATACTCTTCAAAAGAAGGGAAAGCAGGCCCCTGAAAAGTAATCTATACTACGAATAACTCATCTTGGCAGCCATATTTTCATAGCTCCACCTTTGAAGTGCCAGTCTTGCATACTGTTTTGTAATGAAATAATATACTCCCTAATTACAGATGTTCTGGGTGCTAACTGGTGTTATTAAAGTGAAGAACGCTTGGAAATCAGCTCCCATGTATATAGATGACTGTCTAAATACCCCCATATAGAATGCATTTTTAGACTACAAACTGTTTTGAGAGAATTTTCTCAACTCGCGAGTACAATGTTCATTCCCTCTAGTCATGCAATTTCTTTGTTTAATGGGAGTTCATAAATGAAAGAGCTTTCTTAAAGTTATTGACAAAGAGCTGTCCTCTCACTTGAATTATAACTTTGTGCGTGCTTGCACCGAGACAAAGCTTACAATGGATAAGGACTAAAAAAATCTTAAACCTAGAAACACTCATATAAATAACACACATGTTGAAATGTGCTCAGGGCTAATTCTACAGCATTCACAAAACTTACTGTGCAGGAAATAACTCAGTTGTCTCATATGGCTTCCAGAATTCCTCTCCATTTCCTCCATACCCTCCTTAAAATATGGTGTGTGTATGGGACTAATCAAGAACATCATATATGTAAGACTATATGCCTAGCTAAGAAACTCCTCTACCATCGTGTCTTTAATTTGATATATCATTTCACAAGAGCGAGCAACAAAAACAAATAAAATTAACAAACTGTATGCCTTTTAACTGAAATTTTCCAACTTCTATTCATCATTTCTGATTTCCTGGAGGCCTAACAAATTCTAGGCCATTAGTGTTCTACACAAAGATATCCATGGAAAATGTGAACTGATAAATCATTTCAGGTAGTACTGAAAGTTCATTCTAACAACTTTACATTTCAAATAAGGAAATACACAGGATTTTGGGAAGACTGTTCCCTAACTTTCTAGGGCATCAGTCACCCCAATATCTATGGTTTATTTTAACAGTCATAAAAATTGTGCACATCTGCAAGATTCTACAAAAGTGCCATTGCTCTCTTGCATCTATAAGGATGGTCAGAGGATAAGAGACCAAGAGACATTTGCTGTAGTTTTTCTTCACATAGATTGTCTTTTATTAAAGACAGCTGATAAAACTTTTCAGTACGTTAACAAAGGCAGTCAGCAGCTACCACTGCAATAACATGGGACTTGTAGCACTGTATAACAAATGACACCACCTACTACTTCAGAGACTTGAAAGGAGAAACAGACCTGCCTTCATTTCCTTCTGGAGACAGATGCTTTACATCAGAAATAGCTGACTGGCATTTCTATTGAGGTTATAAATGCTGTCTTTTATGGTCTATTTGGAATTATTCCCATTATTAGCATTTTATCGTGGTGTGCTTGTTTCCTTAGTGGTTTTTCGGGGGCAGTGGGGGAAGGTGCTCGTGGGGAGGAGGGGAAAGGAATAACAGATTTGTTAATGAATAATGAAATAACACAAGGTAAGCATTTAGTTGCCTGAGGTGGTTTTGGTTTACACTGATGACAATTTTTTCAAATTTTTCCTTGAGTACCAAAATAAAAGGAGAGCATTGAGCCATGCAAAAATCTTATCAAAAAGTCCTCTCCAAAATTAGAGTACTACAGAATCTTCAAACAATTCACAATAATTCTGAGTAGTAGTTTAGGATTCCACTACTGTAACCATATACAGTATTGGACTCACAAACAGAATCAGTCTTAATGACATAGAAGGATGATCTGCCTCCATGTTTGTCATCTCTGGCTCCACATACAGCAAATGCCATAGCAGAAGTACAGTCCCCAACACAAAAAGACAATTTTACTTCTACATGGTCAAAGAAGTTAAAAGACAGAGAAACAAATACACCTACTCTAGCACAAATATACATTCTGCATGGCAGAAATGTATGAACAAAGAACAGTCCAAACACAAGCAAGGAAATCCAAAATTTTCCTCAAAGCTCTGCTTAGAGATGACCTTCTCTGCTCAACACCACAGAGATCATGGAGATTCTGAGATTAAAGTGCATTTTGTTGATGCTGGGGTACTTCTAAGGAAATTATGGCAATTTTTACTCCAGTAGAATCACAAGTGCAAGACACTTCTCAATTATCCGTTTTAAAAAGTCACTGAAAAGACGTTGCCAAAATCCATCTTGCTCTTAAGGAATTACTGCTGTGTCTGAAACTGTAGATGTTCCAAAACATCTCCAAGACTGTTGAATGAATACTGCAATAAGTGTGCACAACCTACCAGAAACACAAAGGCTGTGTGTTGTTTTTAAAAAGTGCAATTAAGGACACATTCTCTTAAGGATTTCTTTTGAATTAAAGAGACACAAAACATCAATCACAAACTAGTATTTCATGCCAGAACTTCTAGTTAAAAAGGGGTGAAGAATTAAGATATTTGTCTTTGATAACTGAAGACACAGAGGTGGGACAATGACTGAGTAGTCAAACAGCAGAGTACTACTTGTAGAATGGCTCACTAGGCATGAGAGAAAATCATGGTGGACTGCTCCATCTGACCAGTGGCCACTAAGAAATATGTCATGCCCTTTTTTATCCTCCTACAGTGATAGCAAGAACTTTTTCTTGAACTTTTATTACTGGTGGAAGGAAAAGCAGGGGAGGATCATGCTGAGAGATGATTGCTTCCAACTAGATCTTACTCTCCAATGTAATACATTGACAACACTAAATTCACCAGCAGCACATGGAAGCAGACCTTTTTATCTGAGTGATCTGGTGTTCTCAGATAAACCAAGCAGCACTTATGGAGAAAGACTCATGTTCCTCCCTGGTTCTTTACACTATAAGGCTTCTAAAGAACTACAGTTTGCATATGCTGTGTCTGGTATTTTGTCCTAAACAGTACATGAACCACAACTAAGACACTGATCTCCAGTAAGCTGGCTAAGACAACAAAAGTCAGTTGTCTAGGTATTGATAATTTGGTGCAAAAAACATTCTGGATCAAGATGACAGGATGTATTGCAAAGTAGTATGGATCAGACAGAACAAAAAGTTAAAATTCAAAGTTGAAAGGGATTTCCTCTGTCATCAAACCAGACAGCAAAACAT